ACAAATATCATGCTTATTGTAGAAAGACTAAATACTTTAAATGAAATAATAATCTTTATATTGATGTCAAAATGGGTATCTACAATAACTAATCCCCACTGTTGGCTAAAGCCGGGAATCCACTGACTCCGTCCGGCATGTTACGGACAGTTTTGATGCGTCCATATCTCCGAGTCAAAGTCCACTGGAAGCATGTCAGAAGCGTTTCAGCAGCTGAGCGTGCAGCCTGCCCCACCTTATTGACTTGTTATTAATTTGTCATTTTAGTGCTTCTACTACAGAGGTGGGCAATTAATTTTTACAAGGGGCCACATGAGAAACCTGAATTGTGTCAGAGGGCCACACCAACAATAACTTGAACTTAATTTATTCATCTCCACAAACAATGAAAAACAACAAACAGCTGAACAAGTTTATAGGAATACAGCAATACAACAAACAAAAACTTGTAATGTTTTCCACCTCATTTTACCTCTTCAGTGAGAATAATCCAGTCTGTTCTGGGCTTGAACAAGTGCATTGAAATCTGGCTGAATGTCTGAGGTGGCTATGCGAAGGACAGCTGAGAGGTGGTCATCAGTGATAGAGGATCTGTGTTTGGATTTGTTGAACTTCATCACTGAGAATGTCTGTTCACATACATAGGTAGATCCAAACAGGACAAGAATCCTCTGAGCATGCCTCCTCAGGTGTGGAAAGTTCTCCTCTTTGAGGGAGGAGTAAAAGTCCAGCAGTGAGACTGACTTGAAGTGCTCTGCCAGAAGCGTGTCAGACTGCAGGTCAATGAGTTCCATCTGGACATCACTTGGTGCATTATCCACATTGCAGTTGAAGGGAGAAGACACCATGTGCATTTCACTCTCAAGAGTTTTGAAATCTTGAAATCGCCTTGAAAACTCTCCATGCAGTGCTTCTAACATGGTTGAGTACTTGTGGAGGTGATCGGCTGATCTTGTGGCTTCTTTTAGTGTTGGCAGGTGGGTCAGAATTTTGTCCTTCACTTTGCTTGAGAGAAGCTGCAACTTTCTCATGAAAGCCTTCACTGCACTGTACATCTCATGCACAAAAAGGCCCTTGCACTGCAGTTTGACATTTAGTTTGTTCATGAGTGCAGTCACATCCACAGCAAATCCGAGGTCTGCCACCCAGTCTTCATCTGAAAGCTCTGGTACCTTTCTTCACACAGAAATCCTGAATCTGGTCTCTCAGATCCCAGACACTTTTCAGCACTTTGCCTAGGCTGAGCCACCTGACGGTGCAGTGATAGCTTATGTCACCATGTTCAAGCTCATTTTCCTCCAAAAGTGCAACAAATTGCCTGTGATTTAATGCTCTCCCTCTGATGAAGTTAACTGTTTTAGTTACAGCATCAACAACATGGTTCATTTTTAACACTGTCTTACACAACACTTCCTGATGTATAATACAATGCAAAAATGTCAACTCCTGCACAGGGTTAATTTCTGTCACTTTATCCTGCATTCTCTTTAAAAGTCCAACATTTTTCCCTGTCAGATTTGGGCAACAGTCTGTTGTCACACCTACCAGCTTGTCCTATTTCAGTCCTAACATGTCCAAACATGCATTTACCTCTGTGAACAAGTCATTACCAGTGGTTGTGCCTTTTCTGACTGCATGGCCGCCAGCTCCTCTGTGACTTTAAAGTCTGCAGTTATCCCACGTAAGAAGATGAGGAGCTGGGCGGTGTCACGTACATCGCAGCTCTCATCCAAAGCCAGAGAAAAACAGTCAAAGTCGTCCGCTCTGTTCTTAAGCTGAAGCTCCAAGTTCCCAGCGATGTCCTCAACCCACCTCGTTACGGTGCGTCGGGAGAGTGACACGTTCTCAAACGCAGCCTTTTTCTCCGGACATATCAGTGCAACAGAGTCCAATAAGCACTCCTTAATGAACTCGAACTTTTGTGAGAAATTACATAACTTGTCCTGACGGCTGCATCTCTGGGGGTGTGAAGTTTGGTAAAAAGGCCTTGTTGGGTTTGCAGTTTTGCTAGCAACGCATCAGACTCCTTTGCGTGCTCTTCGTCAGTCAAATTTCTGTATTTCTCCTCATACTTGGTGGTGTAGTGACGATTCAAATTATAATCTTTCAACACAGCGACCTGTGTACCACAAATTAAGCACACAGCATTACCTTTAATTTCTGTAAAGAAATACTTGGCAGTTCATGTCTTGTTGAAAACGCGGCATTCGTTATCAACTTTTCTTTTCTTAGCGTGAGCTGACATCTTGGGGTAATCTGGTTAGCATCACCTGTCCCTGTTCACCTACGCGCGTGTGCGCGGGAGCTGTGCGTACACACGGAAGACACAAACACAAACGTAGCGCTTTCAAAATAAAAGCGCCACAGTTGTATTGCATGCACAACATATATTAGTTTAATTTATGTTGTAATTTATGATTGGCCTCTCGCGGGCCGGACAGGGACGTACAAAGGGCCGGATGTGGCCCGCGGGCCGTAGTTTGCCCAGGTCTGTTCTACTACCTTCTTCACAGCTCTATGTGACCCTGTTTCCTTCCGACAACTTCAGGCTGCATTTCCCACAGGGAGCATTTCAGAATCAGAGCGTTTTGCCTGCTTGACTTCGATGATATGTTTAGATTATGTTGATTTGGTAACCAGTGTTTGCATTTTGTGCTTCTACTATGATTAAGTAGGCTACGTAGTTTAATGAGTTCCTTTTGTGTCCGTTTTAACTGTGTTTATTGTTGTTTTATGATCGGGAGTCTCCACAGTATGTTTTATTTTGAAAATTGACCGAATTCTCGTAACGCACCGTAGACGGTGTCAGTCGATTTTAGGGGTAAGAGTTACATAAAATATTAAATGTTATAGCCTAGTGGTAATGAAATGACAGGGTAGGTTATCATCTAGCTCACATCAAATAGCTCATTTAAAGGTAAAGTGTTTAAGTTCTAGTGACATCTAGTGGTGAGGGTTTCGAATAACAAGAATTTCAACCCCCCCTTCCCTATCCAAGCGAGTAGTATAGCTACGGTGCCTGAGACAGGACAAAGATGTAATTTATGAGATAGCAGAATTTACCAGTCAAGATATGAGGTTGTATTTCGTATAGGCTTCGCCCTCTAAGGCTATCGCTATTGGGTTTACCCCTTCCGCGCGCCTCTGCGGCACTGAGAATTTTAGTCTATGCCTACGTCCGCACCTTGTATATATACACAACGGTGAGACCTGGCCTTCGGCTCCCATTTTTCTTCAGTACTGAGCTGTCTAAGAGCAGAAGATTGTCTAAAGAGCAGAAGATTGTCTAAAGAGCAAAGACTTTCCAGCCGGAAAACAAGAAGAACGATGTCTTCCAGCAAGCCGGCCAGAACAGGGCGAGTCACCGCGGCGTCTGCCACACAAGCCCATTCACGGGTCTCAGAGCAACTCCTCGCTTCCCCCGTTCCAACCTCCGATGACGCTGGCCTCGACGCTACTAGGTTACCGCGGCCAGGTAAGATAACAGGGAGCTAACGTTGAGCTAACGGATAGCTAACGTGACACTCACATGTGGTCTGCCTGGATCAGCCGACCAGGGAGACCCCGTGTGCCCACGTTGCTCCACATTAGTTGCGGCTAATGACATCTAGCAACTGGTTTCATTGCTGCTACTTGAGTTAATTAGCTGATTAGAGTGTGGCACCAGGTGTCTTCAATATTGAACCTTTTCACAATATTCTAATTTTCTGAGATACTGATTTAGGGGTTTTCATTAGTTGTCAGTTATAATCATCAAAAATTAAAAGGAATGAACACTTGAAATATATCAGTATGTGTGGAATGAATGTATAAATTATACAAGTTTCACTTTTTGAATGGAATTACTGAAATTAATCAACTTTGATATTCTAATTATATGACCATCACCTGTACATACCAAAGTAAATAAAGAAAATTTCAAACACTATCACATCTAGTGCATCAAGTATGACCACTGACAGATAACAGGACAATGTAAGCCTCACTGTTTCTGCACCACAGTCCATTATAAACCACATAATACATGAAGTAGGACAATAGCCAGTGTTGATAGGCTATTACTTGTGACTTTAACCAATCAGCTAGTACTGTGGGCGGGACCTTGCTTGTGCCCACAGGGTAGTGACTACAGACAGAGAGAGGCAGCTGCATCAGAGCTAAAGGAGCTGTAGCTCCCTCCAGTAGTCAACACGAGGCACAAAGTCTTGTTTAAAAAATGGGGTTTTATTTCTACAGCATATCCTGTCAACCCATGAGAAGTGGGTGGAAAGAGAAAAAATAAAAGGACACATTAAATAAAATGCATGTATGTACGTCTTGAATTCACAGTTTGTCCCGCTATAGCTACACAGTAGTTAACACTCTGTCGTCACTTCAGCTGGAACCAACTTGAGCAAATCTGCATCGACTAGATTTGGCTTTGCTTTCAGTCTGAAACAAACATTTCAGTAAACAAAAATAAAAACAGTGAATGTAAATGTAAATTACAGATTTAATGAAAATATGTTTAACTACAACAAAATAACAATAAAATATGTACGAAGCACAGAGAAACAACATTTTAACTAGTTTTAACTTATTCTTGACCTTGGGGAATAAATCTGTCATTATTGAGCTTGTGACCACATCCCATGGCCTTCTTAAAGAGTAACTAAACCCTCAAACCACTTATTTCAGCTCATAATCAATGTGTATGTGTATTGAGTCGTGTTGCTGAGGGGTTCAGGTCCAAATCTTGACATTTTCCAGCAAACTGTTTGAATTCTACATACTGTGCTATAAAGTGCCTGCCCTCTACTGGTTGAACCCTGACAGACAGGGAGAGTCTGACAGCAGCTCCACATGGCTGCTTCCTAAGCGGTGCTCAGTCTGTCGCTCCCGGTCACTCTGGTCCGTGTCCCCTTACGTCTGCTGCATCTTTTGAATATGCTGAGAGGGTGTTTGCAGAATATGGGTGTGTAATTACTCTTTAAGCAAATCCAACCTGTTCTATTCTCCTCACTACTCCATCACAGTCACATGATAATGTATCGGGGAGGCAGGAGGAACCAGCTAGCATTGCTCTGAAAATGTCTACGATAAGGCAGCATGAATGCGTTGGTGGACTTTAAGGTTACTGCTCCGTGTAAACATTTTCCCACATTGGCCGCAGCTATAAGGTTTCTCTCCAGTGTGAACACGTTGATGTTTATTTAGGTCACTTGGCGTAGTAAAAGTTTTCCCACACTGTTCACACCAGTACGGTTTCTCTCCAGTGTGAACACGTCGGTGGATTTTTAGTTCACTTGATGTAGTGAACGCCTTCCCACACTGTTCACACCAGTACGGTTTCTCTCCAGTGTGAACACGTCGGTGGATTTTTAGTTCACTTGATGTAGTGAACGCCTTCCCACACTGGTCACAGCTGTACGGTTTCTCTCCAGTGTGAACACGTCTGTGAGTTTCTAGGTGACCTGATTGAGTGAAAGTTTTCCCACACTGGTCACAGCTGTACGGTTTCTCTCCAGTGTGAACACGTCTGTGAGTTTCTAGGTGACCTGATCGAGTGAAAGTTTTCCCACACTGGTCACAGCTGTATGGTTTCTCTCCAGTGTGAACACGTCGGTGGATTTTTAGTTCACTTGATGTAGTGAACGCCTTCCCACACTGGTCACAGCTGTAAGGTTTCTCTCCAGTGTGAACACGTCTGTGAGTTTCTAGGTGACCTGATTGAGTGAAAGTTTTCCCACACTGGTCACAGCTGTACGGTTTCTCTCCAGTGTGAACACGTCGGTGGATTTTTAGTTCACGTGATGTAGTGAACGCCTTCCCACACTGTTCACACCAGTACGGTTTCTCTCCAGTGTGAACACGTCGGTGGGTTTTTAGTTCACTTGATGTAGTGAACGCCTTCCCACACTGGTCACAGCTGTACGGTTTCTCTCCAGTGTGAACACGTCTGTGAGTTTCTAGGTGACCTGATTGAGTGAAAGTTTTCCCACACTGGTCACAGCTGTACGGTTTCTCTCCAGTGTGAACACGTCTGTGAGTTTCTAGGTGACCTGATCGAGTGAAAGTTTTCCCACACTGGTCACAGCTGTATGGTTTCTCTCCAGTGTGAACACGTCGGTGGATTTTTAGTTCACTTGATGTAGTGAACGCCTTCCCACACTGGTCACAGCTGTACGGTTTCTCTCCAGTGTGAACACGTCTGTGAGTTTCTAGGTGACCTGATTGAGTGAAAGTTTTCCCACACTGGTCACAGCTGTACGGTTTCTCTCCAGTGTGAACTCTCTGATGAATCTTTAAAGATCCAGATGTTGTGAAGGATTTGTTGCAGTGCTGACAGCTGTAACGTTTGAGTCCCTGTCTTCTTCTTTGTTTCTATATCAACAGACAGACATACAGAAAAAAGTGCGTGAGATGTTGTAGTGCTTAGTGCTCATAGTGTCTGCAAATGCAAACATAAGCTGAAGTATGTAGAACTTTATTTCTACATCCAGCAGGAGGAACATGGAGATGTGGAGACGTGTTGACGACCTGCTGAGACACTGAGTGCCCCTAAAGTGAACCAAAACAGTAAAGTTGCAGCCAGACTAGTGTTGTCACAATACCAAAATTATGACTTAATATTTAAATCTCGATACTGAAACGATACCATAGTGTCCCTGATGGACAGGGAGAGTCTATCCTTCAGCCACAGACTCATTCAGCCCCGAGCCTCAAAGCACTCAGGAGGCTCATTTGTGCCGTCAGGCTCCACAACACCGCAGCACCAGACTGACGTTTTTTCATGACTATATTTTAGACATTTATCTAGTTGTAAATGGTTGTAAATAATTATTGTTGATTGTACAGTGTAAATAGTGTGTTAATACTTCGATAATACTGCATCTGCCTTTTTATATTCCATAATAAAGTTATATCTTATTTATTACGTCTTGTAAAAAGCAAAGGCCCACGGTGTTTAGAAACAGTAGCTTGGAAAGATGACTACGTTGCTCGTGGAAATGCGTTCACATGCGCGTGCAAGAAATTCGAGCAAGAAACATCTGTGGGACCGGTCGAGACAGGATGTGAGGGCACTCCTCATACGTCATTTGAAAACAAGACAGTGAAGTTTAGTTAGACCTCTGGACTAATGCAAGATGGGAAGCACAGGATTCACATTGACTATTAAAATGTTGATTAGCTGGACAGACTGGATAATATGGATGCACATCTCAGTAAATAATAAGCATCACATATTCTGCCAAGTCATTTTATAAATAATATTTTATATTTGAAAATGCATTGAGGGAAACCTGGAGGAGCCAGTTTGAACGGGTCTGATGCGGCTCAGCCAGTACCAGCAAAGACCCAGTCCAGACGTCGTTAGAAGGCCCCACAGACCCAGGTGAAGTACAGGAAGTCTCAGCCAGTACCACTTTTTAGAGCATAATTTGTTAAAAAATATTTTGAAATACACTCACCTAAAGAATTATTAGGAACACCTGTTCAATTTCTCATTGATGCAATTATCTAATCAACCAATCACATGGCAGTTGCTTCAATGCATTTAGGGGTGTGGTCCTGGTCAAGACAATCTCCTGAACTCCAAACTGAATGTCAGAATGGGAAAGAAAGGTGATTTAAGCAATTTTGAGCGGTCTGAGTATTTCACAATCTGCTCAGTTACTGGTATTTTCACGCACAACCATTTCTAGGGTTTACAAAGAATGGTGTGAAAAGGGAAAAACATCCAGTATGCGGCAGTCCTGTGGGCGAAAATGCCTCGTTGATGCTAGAGGTCAGAGGAGAACGGGCCGACTGATTCAAGCTGATAGAAGAGCAACTTTGACTGAAATAACCACTCGTTACAACCGAGGTATGCAGCAAAGCATTTGTGAAGCCACAACACGCACAACCTTGAGGCGGATGGGCTACAACAGCAAAAGACCCCACCGGGTACCACTCACCTCCACTACAAATAGGAAAAAGAGGCTACAATTTGCAAGAGCTCACCAAAATTGGACAGTTGAAGAAAATGTTGCCTGGTCTGATGAGTCTCGATTTCTGTTGAGACATTCAGATGGTAGAGTCAGAATTTGGTGTAAACAGAATGAGAACATGGATCCATCATGCCTTGTTACCACTGTGCAGGCTGCTGGTGGTGGTGTAATGGTGTGGGGGATGTTTTCTTGGCACACTTTAGGCCCCTTAATGCCAATTGGGCATCGTTTAAATGCCACGGCCTACCTGAGCGTTGTTTCTGACCATGTCCATCCCTTTATGGCCACCATGTACCCATCCTCTGATGGCTACTTCCAGCAGGATAATGCACCATGTCACAAATTTCCAATCATTTCAAATTGGTTTCTTGAACATGACAATGAGTTCACTTTACTAAAATGGCCCCCACAGTCACCAGATCTCAACCCAATAGAGCATCTTTGGGATGTGGTGGAACGGGAGCTTCGTGCCCTGGATGTGCATCCCACAAATCTCCATCAACTGCAAGATGCTATCCTATCAATAATAATATAATAATAATAATAATCCTTAGTTGTAGAGCACTTTTCAAAAACAAGTTACAAAGTGCTTTAACAAGTGTAAAGAATAATACAAAAAAAAGATAAGAGCATGAAAATTTAATATAAAATTAGTAAAATAGAATAAAATAAAAGGGATAAAATAAAGTCAAATAAGATCGGGAAAGGCTCTCCTATAAAAGTATGTTTTAAGAAGGGACTTAAAAGAGTTCACTGACTCAGCCGACCTGATTTCCTCGGGCAGGCTGTTCCAGAGCCTCGGGGCCCTGACAGCAAACGCTCTGTCCCCTTTAGTTTTCAGTCGAGACTCTGGAACAGACAACAGACCTCTGCCCGAGGATCTCAAGGTACGTGCTGGTGCGTATGGGACTAAAAGGTCAGAAATATAACAAGGCGAGAGGCCATGAAGAGCTTTAAAAGTGATCAATAGAATTTTAAAGTCAATTCTAAAACATACTGGGAGCCAGTGTAATGAAGCTAAAATAGGAGTAATGTGGTCATATTTCTTTGTTCTGGTTAAAAGCCTGGCAGCTGAGTTCTGGACAGTCTGGAGTCGATCAATAGATTTTTGGGTTAAACAGGTGAAAAGGCTGTTGCAATAATCCAGGCGTGATGAGATGAAGGCGTGTAAAATGGTCTCGGTGTCCTTAAAAGTTAACATTGATCTAATTTTAGCTATATTTCTAAGTTGATAAAAACATAATTTATTAAACATAATATGGGCCAACATTTCTAAAGAATGCTTTCAGCACCTTGTTGAATCAATGCCACGTAGAATTAAGGCAGTTCTGAAGGCGAACGGGGGTCAAACACAGTATAAGTATGGTGTTCCTAAAAATCCTTTAGGTGAGTGTATAGCTTGCAGTTTAATAACGGGTGGCAGCCCGGCTGACGGTGAGTGTCCTGGTTATTTCTCCATTTCATCAGTTATTCTGCTTTTTCCTTGGTTTTCTCTGTCCTCTGCCTGCCTTCCTGTGTCTCCTCCCCTGTGTGTGCTCTCTCTCCCTCCGCCCCTGAGCCCAGCCAACGACCCACACCTGCACCTCGTCAGCAACCTCCCCAGTCTGCCACACCTGCCAGCAATCAACCTCATCTCAGCAAGTATTTCAACCCCGGTTCCCCACACCAGCTTCGCTTGATTTTCGTTACTCCTTACTCTGGTACCACTATTTTGATTTCTTCCTATTTCCCCGTGCTTAGTCTCTGCTGTCACTAATCTTGTCTCTTTGTCTGTTTCCCTTTATGGGGGAGGAAGTAGGTAAATAGTGAAATGATCACAGAATGGCTGTTGTTACAAGTCTCCCCATGTTACAACCACACCTGGTCTCCCCTACATTACATTAAATTAGACTCCTCTGACCTGTGGGGCCCCCTTGGCATTACACTTGACTCTGATCTTGGTCTACATATCCAAATCTTTAGTCTCGTGATGAAGTCATGAACACTGACCTGAACATCGGTGCTATCAGAACACGAGGCTGCTGTTTGGCTCCTGCGGTCCGGGTTCTGGTTCTCCATCGTCCTGCAGGTCTCCGCTGTGACTGGTGGACCGTGTTGTCCTGGACTGAGTCTGGATTCTGGTCTCGGAGCTCTTCAGGCTGAGATACAGGAGCGCTGCGGGATCCCGCGGAGTGTTCTCGCGATGTCACGGCGTCTCGCCCCGCCTCTTAGTTACCGTTGCTCAGGCAGCAGATTCACAGCCTGTTTGAAACAAAGCAGCTTCTCTGTAGCTGCTGAAGTTGGTTCAGCGCGTCAGACTGCTGTGATGATTTTACTGAAGTCAGATTTGAATGATCTTTATTGTTTTTATACTCAGGTACAATGACGTGTCGTAATGCTTCTGTTAATGTAATTAAAATAAAACAAATAAATGACAGCAGAACTAGAAAACAGCTGTAAACTAAAAGTCCTGGACTTTGAAACAGATTAAAATAACACATTTACAGAGGTGAATGTTACATAATGAATCAACAGATGCTCAGTCTTTGTATTTCTAAATGGTGTCTGTGGTAGCAGTGTGTGTGCTTCATCTTTGTGAGGAAGAAGAGTCTTTGTTGGGCCTTGTTAACCAGCTGTGAGCTGTTGGAGGACCATGTCAGCTGTTTTCACACATTGACTCAGAGGAACTTTATGAAACTTTCCACTGCTTCTCCGTGTGTGTGAGGGGGAGGTGGACTCTCTGCTTTGTTCTCCTGAACTCAGCCATGATGTTCCACTTCACGCCTGCGGCCCGTCCCCTCATTGTCTCAAACCAGCCCAGCTCCTGTAAAGTGGTGTCGTCTGCCTGTGTGATTATGGGGTTGGGGGTGCAGTCGTGGGTGTAGAGGCTCAGCACGCTGCCCTGTGGGGTTCCTGTGTTTATGAGGGTGGAGGAGGTCTGCTTACCTATTCTGACCTGCTGTGGTCGGTCCGTGACCCATGATCACAAAGACAAACCAAAGCCCAGGTTGAGAGTCTGGTCGATAATTATTTTAAAATAGGACTAACTCTGGAACATTTCCAAATGTGTGTCGAGTTCAATACGTCTACAAGAGGATACATGGTTACAAATGTGGCTTTCAAATCATCTGGACCAGCACTGCTGCTTTCTTTCAGCTCACATACAGCATAAAAACATCACCAGGAAAATGAGACATGAGAAGTGGGAAAGTTTGAGGAAACAGATATATAATCATAATGAACGTGTTGGGAACCACAAACAGAAGTTAAATGCTGATTAAAAGCACAGGGAATAAGTAAGGGAGCAGAAATAATATCAGTTTTTATCTGGTTTAAGAATTCTTTGTTAGTTTTATTGAGAATACTGTTCAATTGATTGTGAAAAGCATCTGCAGGTTTCAGCAGAATCTCATGACGAGCGATGTTTGACCCAGGTTTGATCTGTTTGATTAGAAAGGCTGATGAGATGTGAGCTGGTCCGAGGTAAATATCTGCATTTAACTCTAATTGTTTTTACAAGTTACTTTAACAACTTCAGAGCAAAGAAAACTAAACATCTGCTGCTTATCTCGGCAGCTAAGAGAGTCCAAACACATCATTAACATCACAGTGAAGCTGTTTGTTCACTTAACGGGCCATCGTGTGTTTGTCCAGGTTGGCTCTCTATTCAAATGGGGATCAGCTGCTTGAAAAGGCGACTGACGCACATTTTCACCTCTCTTCAGGTGATCAGCTTGAATAGGAGGCAGAGAGCTGAACATGTGGACATCAGCTGGCTATTCAGCTGCATTAATGAGCAGCCCAAACAGATGCAAACACAAAGCCACTGAAGGAAAACTGTGTGTTGTGAATGTAGCCTGCAAACCTCTTTAGTCTCCGTTAATACAGAAGAAATTAGAAATATAACAACATGTTGATGTGATTGTCACTTAATAAATAAATGCTGATAGTTGGGAAAAATTGTTGGGGAGGATCTCTTCTCTGTGGCAGCGGCGGGTATTAAAGCACAGAGTACAAACATAAAACAAAGCAATACAAACCTGAGAGGCCTATAAATGTTTCCTTTTCTCCTCCTGTGAGTCAAAGATCAGACTTCAAATTGAAAATAATCTTCTGTTGAACAAAGTGAAGCTCCTGTGCTGCCACCTGCTGGCTGTCTGACTGCATTTATATGCTGCTTCCACCCAAAGAGTCATTCACACACACACACAGCAGTGATAGTGAGCTACCATTTACAGTTTCTACAGCTGCTCACACACATTTCTCAACACTGAGACTCTCCACTCGGTCCCAGCAGAAGTCAGTGTGGAAAACAAACGAAACACAAATTATTGTTAATTAGACTGAATGTTTGCAACATACTGAAAAATAAAAATGATAAACTCTTTGGCACGTTCAACAGCGAGCGCCTCATTTAACTCCTCTATGAAAGACTTGGGGCAGGTGAGGAGATTTAAAAAGCTACTGAAGCATTTCTGACTGTGTTTCCTGTCTGCAGGCCTGGACCTGAGTCCACTGAGATCTGCTCTCCACACACGTGGTTTATATTTAGTTTCATCCACTCTACATTACTGAGGTCATTAACTTGACTTGGTTTTCTAATCTCTCCACCGTTTACCGTCAGCAGACTGACTTTATCATTGAGAATACCTGTACATGTGTGTTTTTAATGGTTTGATTTGTTTCCTTTCAGTATCTGCTGCTGTAAAACAACATCTGCTCAGTGAAACTAAAGCCAAACTGACTTTTATGGGTCTGTTTAGATTCTCACAGCACTTTGATGAGGGTCAGGAAACATGGTGGTCTGCTTAAATTAACAGTGACTGCACCAACAGACCATCTGCTTGTTCCTTGTGCTTATTTGTCACATTTTCTAAAGCCATAACAAATATTCTTGAGTGGAAACAGTTCATTGAACGTCCAGTTTCAAATGATGAGTCAAAGCTTCTCTTTGTGTTGACTAATTTAATGAGAATATTGAAAAGGACTCGAGTCTCAAGTCTCCAGCTCAAATTATTACAGCACCAACCCTGGCAGGATGCAAGTTAAACAGAACACATTTACTGACAGAACAGAAAGCAAACCGCTGTTAAAATGAAGACAAATAATATTTGATTCATTCAGACTTTCACAACAACAAAGGTTTGTTCAGACTGAACACAAATGTGGTCTGTGGTGGTTTTGTAGTCCCTGTTGATTCAGCGCCTCTTCCTCCTCACTACACACTGGATCAAACCACAGCAGTTAAACCCAGAGGCATCTAGGATCTAATTAGTTTGAAGTGTACCGAGTTGGTCGGATGTTGACCTCAGAACTCAGCAGAAACTCCACTTCTTTAGTCTTTTCATTTGTGAAAGACAAAGCTGAATTTTTCAGACTTGAGCAGACACGTCTTCACCTCAGCTGGTGCCGTCTTTAACGAATCTGCGACTCTTTGCTTCGACTAGAATTGGCTTTGCTTTCAGTCTGAACAAACCTCAACAGATTCCTGACGGCTTTCCTCTACTCGTTGCAGTTGCCTTTCTCTTCATATCACTTAGAAATGGACTTTGAATGAAATTATCTTTTTGGCAGCATCAACTCTCCACTGGATGCCGGATATGCGGCGGAGACTGTGTCCACTATTTTAGCCCACTCTCTATCAGTAATCTCCCCAGTTATAGACTTTTCAAATGTTATCGACCGAATGGATCACATTCTGATTGTGAAACAAGTCATTACACTTGGGTTGTGAAAAATAAGCTACAAGAATAAAGAGATAATTCATTCAACTCATTTACTTTGAAGATACTAGTACATTTTTTTGAAAACCCAAGTGGATCGGGAAACATGGTTCTTCAGCAGAGGGGTGAGGGTGGGTGGCATATCCTCATAGCTACAGTGTGTGACACAGCGAGATGTTGGGGGGTGGGGGTGGGGGTGGGGCAGGACAGGCTGTAGTTATAGCCATGATAACATATCAAGAATACAAACTTACTGAAGCTGAAAATATATAAACACAGCTATGAGGGCCTGAAGAGGAGGCATGAGGAAATTGATAGTCTGGCTCTGAAAAATGTTCAAAATGAAGCAGCGTGACTGCAGGAGTGGTGTTTAAGGTGATTACTCTGAGAAAAACCTTTCCCACATTGGTCACACCAGTACGGTTTCTCTCCAGTGTGAACACGTTGGTGGACTATTAGTTTACCTGATCTAGTAAAAGCTTTCCCACACTGGTCACAGCTGTACGGTTTCTCTCCAGTGTGAACACGTTGGTGGATTATTAGTTTACAAGATTTAGTGAAAGTTTTCCCACACTTTTCACACCAGTAAGGTTTTTCTCCACTATGAACACGGTGGTGGATTTTTAGGTCACCTGATCTAGGGAAAGCTTTCCCACATTGGTGACAGCTGTACGGTTTCTCTCCAGTGTGAATACGTTGGTGGATTTTTCGTTTATGTGATGTAATGAAAGTTTTCCCACATTGGTCACACCAGTACGGTTTCTCTCCACTGTGAACGCGCTGGTGGACTCGTAGTGCACCTGATGTAGTGAATGTTTTTCCACATTGATCACAGCTGTACGGTTTCTCTCCAGTGTGAACACTTTGGTGGACTTTAAGTTCACCTGATCTAGTAAAAGCTTTCCCACACTGGTCACAGCTGTACGGTTTCTCTCCAGTGTGAGCTCTCTGATGAATCTTTAAAGATCCAGATGTTGAGTAGGATTTGTCACAGTGCTGACAGTGGTGACGTTTGAGTCCATCTCTTCCTCTCCGTTTCTATAGAAACAGACAGACATACAGAGAGATAAACAGAAATGAGATGTCACGTGTGGAACATTTAGCCGGAAACTATTCATCGTCAATCTTGATTGCTTAACTTAAGTTTAATCGAGTCAACTTGAGTTAAGCATCGAGTCCACTCAGGAGACCCAAAACAAGATAGTATTAACCATACATCATGATTGCTAATTGAGGTGAAAGCTAGATGAACGATAAGGCACAATTCTTAGTTGTAAATGTAGAATTGTTGTTGTGTTTTTTGTTGTTTGTCTGACTGGTTAGAGTATACGAGTTACCAAGCTGATCCTGGTACCAGGGGGCACTGTATCTGATTACTTGATGATAAGGCTGGACGATATGGCCAAAAATGTCACAATAAAAAGTTTTATATCTTTCTATATTGATAATTATCATGATAAGTATCAAATCAGGGCTGAAGCTAACAATGATTTTTGTACTTGGAAACTTCTACAGATTCAATGATGTATCGTGTAAGAAGTACTTTAGCTTGACAACGCTTTTATCTCTTCCTACACTTTGCAAACAGCGCCATCATAATCATGTCGTGTTCACACAGTTTAAGCGCAATGTGCGAATGAGTAATAAATGTCCCTAGCTATATAGTTATATGGATTAAACGAAGCGTTGATGCAAAGAATGTGTCGATGCATTTTAGTAATCAAATTAATCGATAAATCCTTTCAGCCCTATCTAATCGTTATTTCTTTACAGTTCAAAGGCTGCTTTTTGCTCCCGAGAGAAAGTCGAAGAAACGTGATGGTTAATTGTACTTTAAACTTTTCTTTATGGTCAACAGCTGAGGCCAAGCAGTGGATCACTAAGCAAATCTGAGGAAAGGCAAGTTTAATTTGTATAGCACAATTTAACAACAAGGTAATTCAAAGTGCTTTACATAAAACATAAAAGCAACAGGGAAATATGTAGTCTAAAAGCTTAAGTTTAAAAGCAACATAAAATAATAAAAGTTACAGTGTTATAATCAAGGTTAAAAGAGTTAAATGGAAAATAATAAAAATCTAAAAACAACAGGACAGTAAAAGTTATAGTGCAGTGTAAGTTAATAAAAAGAAAAATCTTAAAGATTTAATTAAAAGCAATGGTAAAAGAAATAGTCTTCAGTCCTAATTTAAAAGAACTGACTGTTTCAGCAGACCTGCCGTTATCTGGGAGTTTGTTCCAGATATACAGAGCATAATAACTGAACGCTGCTTCTCCTTGTTTAGTTTTGACTCTGGGGACAGAAAGCAGACCTGATCCCAGACGACCTGAGAGGTCTGGATGGTTCGTAACGAAGCAGAAGATCAGAAATGTATTTTGGCCCTAAACCATTTAGTGCTTTATAAACTAACAGCAGGATTTTGAAATCAATTCTTTGACATACAGGAAGCCAATGTAAAGACCTCAGAACTGGAGTGATGTGATCCACCTTTTTGGTCTTAGTGAGGACTCGAGCAACAGCGTTCTGAATCAGCTGCAGCTGTCTGATGGATTTCTTAGGGAGCCCTGTAAGGACACTGTTACAGTAGTCAAGTCGACTGAAGATAAATGCATGAATAAGCTTTTCCAGGTCCTGCTGAGACATAAGTCCTTTAATCCTTGATATATTCTTCAGGTGATAGTAGGCTGACTTTGTAATTGTCTTAATGTGGCTCCTCAAATTCAGGTCTGAGTCCATGACTACACCAGATTTCTGGCTTGATTTGTGGTTCTTAACATTACAGATTGAAGTCGAGCACTGACTTTCAATCGTTCCTCCAAAAACAATAACTTCAGTTTTATCCTTGTTTAATTTCAGAAAATTCTGGCACATCCAATCGTTGACCTGCTCAATACAGTCACTCAGCGCCTGTATGGGATCATAGTCCCCTGGTGAAATGGTTATGTAAATCTGTGTGTCATCTGCATAATTATGGTAACATATTTTGTTGTTCTTCTATAATCGGAGTCAGTGGAAGCATGTAAATGTTAAACAAAAGAGGTCCCAGAATGGACCCTTGGGGAACTCCACATGTAATTTTTGTCAGCTCAGATGTGTGATTACCTATAGACACAAAGTTGTCCCTGTCTAAGTAGGATTCAAGCCATTTTAGCACTGTGCCAGAAAGTCCAACCCAGTCTGTCTAGTAATATGTTGTGGTCGACCGTGTCGAATGCAGCACTGAGAACCAATAATGCTAAGACTTGAGCAGACACGTCTTCACCTCAGCTGGCGCCGTCTTTAACGAATCTGCGACTCTTTGCTTCAACTAGAATTGGCTAGAATTATTGCCACGGTCAGTATTTAAATGGATTTCATTGAAGACCTTAACAAGAGCTGTCTGTGTGCTGTGGTGTGGTCAAAACCCTGACTGGAAGACATCAAAACAGTTATTTAGTGCCAAGAAGCTGTTGAAAAACAGCCTTTTCAATGATTTTACTTAAAAATGGGAGATTTGATATGGGCCTATAATTGCTCATTAGTGAACTGTCTAGATTGCTCTTTTTTAAGAGTGGCTTAATAACTGCAGTTTTCAGGGCCTGTGGGAAAAAACCTGAGAGGAGAGACACGTTGACAATTTGTAGTAAATCTGAGGCCATGCATTTAGAAACATTTTTGAAAAAACCTGTTGGCAGAATATCAAGGCAGCATGAGGAGGATTTCAGATGTTGTATTATGTCCTCCAGGTTTTTATGGTTAATAGAATCAAATTGTCTCATGCTATATGAATTGCTTTTGAGTGGACACAGGGACAAGACATATCCTGTTACTGACATGGAGGCACTGATTGCTTGTCTAATTGTTTGAATTTTGTCTGTGAAGAAGGAGGCAAATTCATTGCAGGCCCTGGTGGATAGAAGTTCAGAGGCTACAGACACAGGAGGGTTGGTTAGCGTGTGACCCTTATTGTGCGTGGGCTCCGTCACATGTTGGGTCAGTCCATAATTAGAACATTATAACAAGAACACAACACAGTTCTTTAGTCCCTCTGTCTTGGGGGTCGTCAACATGGATGTTAAAATCACCAACAATAACTACACAGTCAAAGTCAATACAGATTATAGACAGCAGTTCACCAAAGTCATCAAAAAAGTTTGCACAGTATTTAGGGGGCCTGTAGATATTTAGAAAAATAGCTCGAGAAGAGGAATTCAGCTGAAAAGCCACATATTCAAAAGAAGCAAAATTCCCATAAGACATCTTTTGGAATTGGAGGGAGTCATTAAACAAAATGGCAACTCCACTTCCTCTCTTATGCACTCTAGCTTCACTATAAAACTGAAGTTGGGAGGGGTAGACTCGATAAGGACAACTGCACTGTTATCTTGGTCCAACCAAGTTTCAGTTAAAAACATGAAATTAAGATTGTGAGTGATTATACAATCAGTAATTAAAAATGTTTTTCCTGCCAAAGACCTAACATTTAACAAAGCTAATTTTAGTGTGTTGAAAACATTATCTGGCCCACTTTTTTCGACAGGCTGCGGCTGACGAGGAACTAATGCTAAACGTGTTGTTGAGTGCTTCCTGTTTCTGAACACATTCACCATGCTTTTTCTGTTCTGGATGGAGAAGACTACCAGGAGTAAATTTGGTCCCAGCTCTAACCAGGTCTTCCATGTGATCAGTGAAGTCCAACAGGGGGGAGAGGGGAGAAAGGGTGTCTGAAGATGGGGATTGGGGGGGGTAAAGATGTTGAATCCTCACTGTTGGTTTTCATTGAGGGAGGTGGTGGCTCTTCCTCTTGGCTCAGTTGTCTCCCGTGATCAGAGCTCTCTTCTGGGGGGGGGGGGGTAAAAGTTTTCAATGAAATGCACTGAATAGACAGTACAGGCCGTTGAGAGCCACATGTTCTATGCCATCAATCTGCTGAATCTCTCAGCTCCTCTTCGGATTGGAGGTATAGGGCCACTGATAAACACCTCAGCATTCAAAGAGCTGACCGTGTTCAACAGATTATTATATTATATATAAGTCCTCTTTCAACACTTCAGACTGTTGCTTCACAACATCATTGGCCCCGATGTGCAGTATGATGTTTTTCACAGTAGGATGTTCAGCCACGATATGCAGGATTCTAAAAATAAATCAAACATTTATAGAATATTTATTGAACCTTTGTCGTAAGAAAAAATTTTTTATTTTTTGTTATTGTATAAAATTGTTTTCTTGCCCTGCCCTACTTGATGAATATACGGAATAATCGGTACAATACTTAATTACTAAAATAATCAACAGCTGCAGCCCTAACAGAATGTCGAAGTTTGACTAATGCAATACTCTGTGTGTCCAAAAAAGGGCCTGGGATGGAAAAGACCTCTATTTTTTTATAGAAAGATGGATGCCAATATAAATACAAAACTTCAAAAAGTACAAAGAAATAAAATAGAATAAGATCAATAATTAACAGACAATATATTAAAACCAAGATTAAAAACAACAGACGTCACAGATTTTATTCCATTATGATAATTAACTTAATATTCATGTATCCATTATAGTTAACTTGTAATATTCATCTTAATGTTTTTAAAAGTTCTAACTTAAAATATAGATTTCACATAGTAAGTGATTTTCTGCTGGTCACTTTGAACATAACAGTGTTGGTACAATTCATTTGTATGTATTAATCAATTTGTACATTAAAATCCAAAAGAATCCCAGCCACTAAACTCACCTCCTCCATTGTCACAAAGTCCTATTTCTTTAATTTAAGTTAAATATCAAGTCATATAGCATGTTTACAGGACAGAGCTGTAACCTGACAACCTAATGCTAATCTTACTCCTATTTTAGCTTCATTACACTGGCTCCCAGTATGTTTTAGAATTCTATTGATCACTTTTAAAGCTCTTCATGGCCTCTCGCCTTGTTATGTTTCTGACCTTTTAGTCCCATACGCACCAGCACGTACCTTGAGATCCTCGGGCAGAGGTCTGTTGTCTGTTCCAGAGTCTCGACTGAAAACTAAAGGGGACAGAGCGTTTGCTGTCAGGGCCCCGAGGCTCTGGAACAGCCTGCCCGAGGAAATCAGGTCGGCTGAGTTAGTGAACTCTTTTAAGTCCCTTCTTAAAACATACTTTTATAGGAGAGCTTTTCCCGATCTTATTTGACTTTATTTTATCCCTTTTATTTATTATATTTTACTAATTTTATATTAAATTTTCATGCTCTTATCTTTTTTTTGTATTATTCTTTACACTTGTTAAAGCACTTTGTAACTTGTTTTTGAAAAGTGCTCTACAAATAAGGATTATTATTATTATTATTATTATTATATTATTATTGATAGGATAGCATTTGTATTTTACAATTTTTATTTTCATCTTAAACGTGTATTTTAGTCTTTTCAATGTTTTCATGCTTTCATCTTGTATTGTTTTTGTATTATTGTCTCTTGGGTAAAGTGCTCTACAAATAAAGATTATTATTATTATTATTATTAATCTTTTCCTCTGCTAACTTTCACCATCACTTTCTGCCGCGTTACATGGATGTTGGAAAATAAAGACTCGGGCTGGGGAGATTCGTAAATACGTCGCTGCACATTATGTGCGTCGACGCGTCGCTGCATCCGGTGCACAACTGCTGTCCACGAACACGTGAAACGTCCCGCAGCACTTTGTCTAGACGGCAGCACCGCAAATCGTGTTTACTTTCTACCCCGCTGCTGTCATGGTAACGTAACCTTACACCTCGAGTCTTGTAATGATTGATGTTTCATATTTTCTGTTTATTTAACGGCCACGTATGAGCACAAAACAGCTGAATCTAATTACAGTCTGAGTCCTTTCAGGTGTTTATCATACTGCATTACTTAATATTGGAATGAATCCATGTCAGAAACATTTAAAGTTTTAAGTAAAGTAGCCTAATTAATGTCTGTTATTGTTATTATCACAACACATCAGTGACTTGGAAATTTGTTTCATTTTTTGAGATGTAACAGAGTGATGGTCAATATAACAGTCAGACAGCTATGTGAAGGCCGTACATAACAATAATTTTTTCAAATCAATTAATCTACCTTTTTTTTTGTCAATTTATCTAATGACTAATTTTGCGCATTCTAAAGAAACAACACACAAACTACCGTCAACCTGGACCCTGACAGTCCACCAACCCAAAACCAGAGTGCTCATTTTCCAGACAAGGTCCAGACTAATGACTCTGCTTCACTTTTCACCAGCACTGTTTCCGCTGCGCGCTCCCGACACAACACGGGCTGCACCGCGCATGCGCCGCTCGGGAACTCCCAGAACAAAGAAAAGAGAAACGCTCGTGAGTTTTTCTTTCAGCTTCCTCTCTTCAAGATGAAAACAGGAATCACGGAGACACTTTGGAAATCAAACCACGTCAACACAAACCCTGGAGCGGGTTTTCAGGCTCTGATCTCTAACAACAGAATGAACGGATGATACACGGACCCTCGAGACTCTTCCTCGTGTCTTTAGTCTCGTGATGAAGTCATGAACACTGACCTGAACATCGGTGCTATCAGAGCACGAGGCTGCTGTTTGGCTCCTGCGGTCCGGGTTCTGGTTCTCCATCGTCCTGCAGGTCTCCGCTGTGACTGGTGGATCGTGTTGTCCTGGACTGAGTCTGGATTCTGGTCTCGGAGCTCTTCAGGCTGAGATACAGGAGCGCTGCGGGATCCCGCGGAGTGTTCTCGCGATGTCACGGCGTCTCGCCCCGCCCCTTAGTTACCGTTGCTCAGGCAGCAGATTCACAGCCTGTTTGAAACAAAGCAGCTTCTCTGTAGCTGCTGAAGTTGGTTCAGCGCGTCAGACTGCTGTGATGATTTTACTGAAGTCAGATTTGAATGATCTTTATTGTTATTATCAGGTACAATGACGTGTCGTAATGCTTCTGTTAATGTCATTAAAATAAAACAAATAAATGACAGCAGAACTAGAAAACAGCTGTAAACAGGAACTTTATAAGTTGGAGGCAGCAGCTCAGGAGCCTTAAGGGCCCGTGTCCACCAAAGAGTTTTTTGCCTAGGGTGCGTTTTGGAGGCACAGTGTTTTACATACATACATAATTTCCGTGGAGGCGATGTGCTGCAACTAGCCTCCTTTATTTTATTGAATGTAAAAATGTCACCACAAAGTACGTAGGCCTACTTGCTCAGGCCCTTGCTCTGCACGAAGAGAAGGCTGAAACATGAGAGCACAGACTGTCCCTACGTGGTTCATGAGATTTTGCGGGCGAGAAAACACCTCGCACATCGTTTCGTTCAAGATCGGATGTGCTCAGTGTGCTGTTTGTCCCGCCCCTCCTGCACTGTGATTGGACGGCTGGGTAAAAAGTGACAGTGACGAGCGCAGCGTTTTTCTCAAAGTTGAACAATTTCAACTCTCGGTGACCGGAAAAAAACGCTCAGCGCCTCGTCACGCTGCTGCCGTTTTTACCAGCTTGGAAAAACGTGTCTCTCCCATTGCAATGAATTGAAAAAAGACACTGGCGTCGCTTTGGTGGTCACGGGGCCTAACAGAGGTCCCCGGGTCTGGTGAGTTTGGTTCCTGGATCAAATGTTCACGGTCTTCAGGCTGGAGAATAAATAGGCAACATGAAATTAATCCAACTACATATTTCACACCACTGTGACTGTGACCAGCTTCAAGCTAAAGTTTTCCATAGAAGGGGGTTCCCACAGTTATGTAGATAAAAATGGTTCATTCTAAGGTAATTAAAACATCATGGTTCATAAAGTAAGGTCTTTATACACCACTGAAAACAGTTATGGATATTATTGCATTTCAGTCAATAGATCCACAGAATTATTACACACTGGACCTTTAAAGGTTTGTGACTGCAGGATCTAAACAGGACGTTTCACTTTCATCATGTTACTTTGAAAACAAAAATTCTTCTCTCTTTTTTAAGTCATCTTTGTTGCAAAAAGGGGGTTTACAGTTCAGATGAGACTTACAAAGATACACATAACAGTATACAAACATATACAACACAGACACAATAATATAAAGCTTTGCCAGGGGAAGCTTAGAGGCTATTAGAAAAAGAAAGACGAGCACATGTTGACAGTTTTAACGCCTTTTTGTTGTTGGAGCCAGAAATCAAATTAATTTAAAGCACAACCTCATGGAGAAAAAGAACAACATTAGTTTTTAAAAATTATTTATGAATGTGGAATTTTGCCAACTAATAAATTTATAATAAAGTAAATCTTTTCTTTACTTTCACTTCTATTAAATGAAAACACCTCATTCTCCCACAATAAAGTCTTTATAAACACAGTCAGTGATGAATCTGCCAAAATGTTCTGGTGTGTAAACAGAACCAGGAGAGCTGCAAACAGTTTCTGGATGGTCTTCACAGAAACAACAGTTTGTACTGACGTCTCTTTTGAAGTGAACCATGTAATGATCAGCAGGGTGAACTACTTTCATCTGTCTGATCTCTGATCAGCTGATGACGTCATCATCCAATCCCTCCTCAACCTGGGTGGGCGGGGTCATCACCATGGAGACAGGCAGGTCATTTCCTGCAGTCAGAGCAGGTTAGAAAGAAAAAATTAGCTTCTGTTAGAGACAACTGTCAATCATCAACACCAGAGAGAGACTGATGATTGATTGATTGATTGATTGTGAGGTCAGTGAATGATTCATGGTGCTTTCAGACCAAAAGCGAAATGAGTTTACATACAAAGTCAATGCAAAGACGAGTTGAGATTATCCGTACGTCACTGACAGCTTCAGAGCGTTGTGTGGAGAGGGCCAGGCAGAGCTGGCGATTGAAAATCTGCAGGCCGGCTGAGAGCTGCTAAACTTTGGCTAGAGGAGCAGGGAGCAGCGCTGCAACCTCTGGACAAATAAACACCCGTAGTCGGACTGGACTTTGCTTGCAACTACGCCGTTTGCTCGAGGGAGGAGCTCGGAGTAAACTGCTTTTATTAAATTAGCTTTTTACTTTAGATTTTAGGATTACAACGTTGATTTATCTTCACTCGAGCTTCTCAGCAGCTAGCTTCCGTGCACATCCGGTTCCAGTGTTGTTAGCGTTGTTTGGCACAACTTCATATTTATATAAAAACCGGAGAAAACTGGACATTGCTGGGAGAAAAGAAAGAGAGGAGGTAGAGCTACCTGGTGAGTACAGAAAATGTATGTAACTTTATTCCAGCTATCGTTGTACTTTACTGTGACCAAGTTAGCATAGCATAGCCCTGATCGATCCAAACTCCATTCAGAAAACAAACATTTTAGAAGTGTTACCTGCTTGTTGTCCTGCTGTCTTGCTGACAGACCTAACAAAGCATGAATTCATATGTACATATTCATATATAAAACTGCATCATATTGTAGTTATTTTGGCATCAGTTTGATCTGTTTATTGCTATTTAATCACAACAAAATGTTTACTTTGGGTTCATACAGCTGTAGTAGTGACGGTTTGTGTTTATTCACATTATTGCATTAAATCGCCTTCTCGTGTTGTGTGTGAACACTTGCAGCAAATGTACTCACGCGAGGAAAGCGTTGCGAGGCGAAAATTCGCGTTTGGTCCAAAAGCACAGTCAGAGTGTTACCTGTGGGTCTGCGTCGGTATAAAGACACCATGAGGACAGTGGAGATGCAGTACGGACAGAACACCACCAGGTGGCAGACCAGTCTGAACACAAGCTGGAGGGGGACTGAGGCCGGGGGCGGGGCTACAGAGGTG